TGAGGCGGGTGAATCACAAGGTCAGGAGTTTGAGACCAGCCTGGCCAACATGGTGAAACCCCCGTGCCTACTAAAAATACAAAAAATTGGCTGGGCATGGTGGCAGGCACCTGTAATCTCAGCTACTCCGGAAGCTGAGGCAGAAGGATCACTTGAACCAGGGAGGTGGAGGTTGCAGTGAGCTGAGATCACTCCACCGCACTCCAGCCCAAGCAGCATTTCAAGACTCTGTCTCAAGAACAGAATAGGACGAGGTGAGAGGACAAATTCACTTGGTGGTCCATACTTGGACCTGGGTCCTATCAGCCAGAGAATCAGGAATGAATGCAATCAGCCAAGTCGGTTAACTTGAGAGTTACTTTCCAATAAGCCTCCAAAGGACAGTGGTAATTAGTATTTCCTGGTTTTCTCTACCCCGCAGGTGGAGACCTGCAGATGGATCCAGCACAAAAAGGGCATGCCATGCACACGCTCTGGAATGTACATCATCTTCTCACCGCTATTTGTTTGGTAAATTACAAAATTCTCAGTAGTAAAGATACAGTTTCACAACCTGCCCTGAGGCACACCCTCCCAAGGCAGATGGGCTGGGAAAGGACAGCCACATTTCCTAACCTGCACCTCAGACTCCTTTTCCAGATCCACACATCTACACGATCAGGTTAGTGAATCCATTTCCTTACTGCTGCCAACAAAATGTTGGGTGTTAAAACTTGCTGTATGTCACTGTCAGGTAACTTCCTCTTGGGCAGTTTATACATGCACCGAAAACGAAACACTTTACACCCACGATCTCATTTAATCTATGTAACTTTTCTGGAAGGCTGATTCTGAGTCCTCCATTTTACAGGTCAGGGAACTGAGGCCTGGAGGAGATAATGTATGCATGACCACAGCCATTAAGAGGAACCTGACTGGCCAGGTGAGGTGGCTCACACCTGTAATACCAGAACTTTGGGAGGCCTAGGTGGGCGGATCACCCGAGCTCAGGAGTTCAAGACTAGCCTGGCCAACAAGGTGAAATGCTATCTCTATTAAAAACACAAAAATTACTACATTGAGATACCATCTCACGCCAGTTAGAATGGCAATCATTAGGCCGGGTGTGGTGGCTCAAGCCTGTAATCCCAGCACTTTGGGAGGCTGAGGCGGGTGGATCACGAGGTCGAGAGATCAAGACCATCCTGGTCAACATGGTGAAACCCCATCTCTACTAAAAATACAAAAAAATCAGCTGGGTATGGTGGCGTGTGCCTGTAATCCCAGCTACTCAGGAGGCTGAGGTAGAAGAATTGCCTGAACCCCGGAGGTGGAGGATGCGGTGAGCTGAGATCGCGACATTGCACTCCAGCCTGGGTAACAAGAGCGAAACGCTGTCTCAAAAGAATGGCAATCATTAAAAAATCTGGAAACAACAGATGCAAGAGAGGATATGGAGAAATAGGAACACTTTTACACTGTTGGTGGGAGTGTAAATTAGTTCAACCATTGTGAAAGACAGTGTGGTGATTCCTTGAGGACCTAGAAATAGAAATTCCATTTGACCCAGCAATCCCATTGCTGGGTATATACTCAAAGGATTATAAATCGTTCTATTATAAGGACATGTGCACACGAATATTCATTGTGGCACTGTTTACAATAGCAAAGACTTGGAACCAACCCAAATACCCATCAAGGATAGACTGGACAGGGAAAATGTGGCACATATACACCATGGAATACTATGCAGCCATAAAAAACGATGAGTTTGTGTTCTTTGTAGGGACATGGATGAACCTGGAAACCATCATTCTCAGCAAACTGACACAAGAACACAAAATCAAGCACTACATGTTCTCACTCATAGGTGGGTGTTGAACAACGAGAACACATGGACACAGGTAGGGGAGCATCACACACTGGGGTCTGTTGGGGGGAACTGTGGGAAGACAGCAGGGGGTGGGGAGTTGGGGAGGGATAACATGGGGAGAAATGCCAGATACAGGTGATGGGGAGGAAGGCAGCAACCCACATTGCCATGTATGTACCTATGCAACAATCCTGCATGTTCTTCACATGTACCCCAAAGCCTAAAACACAATAAAAATTTAAAAAAGTGTTATGCTCTGGTTTCTCTTCATAACGAATAAATCTTTCACCTTTTACTAAAGATTTCTGTGGAGAGGAACAACTATGAGTTTATAACCAAATTTTTTATGTCCTGCTTAGGCAGGGCTAATAAAAAAATATAAAAATTATCTGGGCATTGTGGTAGGTGCCTGTAATCCCAGCTACTCGAGAGGCTGAGACAGGAGAATGGCTTGAACCCAGGAGACAGAGGTTGCAGTAAGCCGAGATTGTGCCACTGTACTCCAGCCTGGGTGACAGAGTGAGACTCCGTCTCAAAAAAAAAGAGAGACCCTATTGAGGGTTTCCTTCTTACAAATCATCCAGAGCTTCTCCTCTGTCCAGCAGGAGCACCCACACTTCTTGGCTTGGCCCCTTCACCATCTCACCCTGTTCTGGTTACATTTCTAGTTATTTACCGCCAACTCTGTCCCTGACCCGAGCAAGCCCCATTTCCTATCTTCAGCCACCAGAGCTTCCTCCTTTCTATGCTCCAGTTATGGGACTCAGCCCACACTGCCCTCAAGCCCACCCGCTACCTTCTCCACGGCCTTCAACTCCACATCAGGACACCTTCCCTGCTCAAATTGATCACGTCTTTGCTTGGAATTCTGGTTTCACATTCACTGTCCTGCAGCAGAGTTAACGTTTGTGACTCCCTATTAACCCAAATACTATCTACAGTAATTGGGCACATACCAGGTTCTACCCTCCACTCATTTATCCTCACATTATCATCATCTTACAGATAAGGAATCTGAGGCCCAGAGGGGTGAGCCACTTGCTCAAGGTCTCACAGCTAAGAAGCAACAAAGCCAGAGCATACATGCTCAACCGTTACTGCCAGATGATTCTAGAAGGAACACCAGGGTGGAAGCATTTTTACCTCCTGCCGCCTTACACACCCCAGGTGTTAGATGGGCGGGGTTTGCCTCCCAGTGCTAGGCAGTGGCTCAGAACTGCCCTTCTTGTGATCCTGGGAGCCCACTGACTGAAGAAACTAATTCTTAGAAAAACTCTGAGTTCAGCATGCCTCGGAAAGAACTTTAGAATTATGCAACGTGCTAAGTCACAGGGTATTTGGTCAGTTATCTGAAAACTGCCAATGCCGCGGAATTCTGGAGGCTTGGAGCATGTTAACATCAAAATGCCTCCTTTTGGTGGGTAGAGGGGGAAAGAAGGAACCTAAACATCCCCAGTAAATAAAAACTCCCCTGGAAACCATGGAAAGAAGACTCTCTTAACGGTACAGGAGCAAACTGTGCCTCCCTACCCCCTTCCCCCAGCACACAAGCAACTAATCTAGGAAATCAGATTGGTTTACGTTTTCCCTAAATCCGGGATTCCAACGGCCGTGTGTGCCTGAGGCAGAAGAGACTGCCTAAAATGTTGGTTAAGAGACGGAGAGAATCTGTCACTTTGTCTCCAGGGGAATCAGGGCAATGGGGGGACAGAGGGGCAAACTAGTTGCAGAGACTCCCAAAACAACGTTGCAATTGTCCTTACAGCCTGGTGATAAATATGCAAGTGGGACACTTTGTAGAATTTCCCGAAGGGCAGAGCTACCAGCCTCAGGCAAATTGTTCCCTCCCACTTAACCCCACCTGGCCCAGAAAAGCCTCAGGCCAGTTGACTTTGAACCTCAGCCTCACACTTACCGCTAGGCTGCCGGCCCGCCTGGCGTCGGCAGCTTCTTCTTTAAAGAATTCTTTCCTTTGGATGCCAGCTGAAGCCTCAAGCCTCAATTCATAACCAAATGCTCCTCAGCCCACCCCGGAGTCAAACCCTGGGAATGAGGAATGTGCATAGGGGAGTGGGGGTGGCCTCTCCCAGGAAAATGAGGGCTGCTTTCTCACTCCACAGCAAAGCCGGGGCTCTCCCTCCCCACTGCCCCCAAGCCCCCGATCTGGGTGGCGGGAAGGCACCGGAGCGCTCTGGAATTACCACCTACACCGGGGGCCTAGGATGTGCACAACATCGCACTTCGGCCCACCAGGCTAGGAAGTGGGGTCAAGTGATTATAAACCATCATCCCGCTTGCTGCAGCTGGCTGAGTCAGTGGAATGGGATTCCTAAATGTTGGTGGGTATCGAATACCTTCGAGCAGAGCATCATGGAAGTTCAGCCCAGAAAAGCTCAGGTGGGCGTCCAGAACGCTCGAGGGGGCCCCGAAGCGCCACCGTAGATGGGAGCAAACACTCCAATCTACTGTGGTAGGGGCGCTCGGGAAATCTGCATTGAACCCTTTTACCCATCAATTTAATTCAAGCTTGGAAAGGTGACAGATCTAAAGTGCCGAGCACAGGCCTCCCGTCTGACATACTGGGAACCGCTCGTGTTGGGAGAGTCCCACTATGTGCTAAGCTGCCGCCCAAGTCCAAGAACACAAGCATGGGGGGTTGACTCTAGGAGCCGCGGGGCCAGGAACTGCGTCCCACAGGGTGGAATTTCTGAGAGCGCATGGGCCTCCTTTCCGACCTCGGGAACCCCCGACGGCCTCGGTTATTCCGGAGGCCTAGCGCACGGAATGAGCTGCTGACAGAAAGCAGCAATACCTGTGCCTTTTCCGCAGCTCCAGAGGCCGCACTCGGCATCAGGCGGGGGCACTCGGCATCAGGCGGGGGCACTCGGCATCCGGCGGGGCTACCTGGGCGGACGGAGCCCACAACGGGATCCGGCCGCCCCTGCGCAGCGGCTACCCAGCGGGCGGGAGGACGTGCCGAGGCGCCCTGGCCGCGGCCCAGGGGCAGGTGCAGGAGCCGCGCGGCTGGCGCGCTCAGGGCGCGGGTGCCGGGTTGCGCGGGCGGGCACGACAGGGAGGGGCGCGGGCCCCGGGAGCCCGACGCCAGGGCGTGGTGCTTGTGGCGGCGGGGGCAGAGTCGACACAGTACCTTGATTTTTGACCTGGCAACCGGGCGCTGCTTGGCCGCCAGGTGTCCTTCGGGGCCATCGGCGTCGCCGGGCTCCGGGGTTTCGCGCTCGGGGGCGTGCGGGGACGAGCTGCTCTCGGCGCCTCCGGGCTCGCCTGCGCTGCTGCTGCCGCTGCCGCTGCTGCTGCCGCCGTCGCTGCGGCAGTCCTCGGGGGGGTCGTGGAGCAGGCTGCCCAGGCCCACTGTGGAGGGAGGGGCCGCGCCCCGACACACACACTCGGCGTCAGCCCGCAAGCCCGAGGCAGTTTGACCTGCGGGCGGTGCCGCCGCCGCCCCGCCCCGGACCTGGGCACCTCGCCAAGTGGGCGACGTCGCGGGGGTGGGCGAGTAAGCCCGGGATCGGCCCCTCGAGCTAGCTTGGGGTGCTCGGGGCCTCTTCCCGGTCCCAGCCCCGGCTCCCACGAGGAACTGGGCGGCCACGGGCGGCGGAGGACCCCGCGCGCCAAGTTTCCTCTCGGGGCGGGGGAGGCGGGTCTGATCTCTTCCCAGCTACCCCTAGAAGCGTTGGTGGGCCTTTGTGCATCCCCATGAGGACGTGAGATTGGGGGTTAACCCCTGCTAGCTTTCGTTCCCTTTCCTGGGCCACCTCGGCCCGCGCCGCAGCCAACGGTCCCGCCGCCGGGCAATTAGAGGCTCCCACTAGGGGTAAGGGGGCGCCGAGAGTCCCGGGCATCCCAGTCCCTCACTGGCCGCCCTCCCCCGCCTGGAAGACCCCCGCGTGACCCGCGGAAGAGGGGGATGAGGTGGGGAGCCCGACCCTGACGAAGAGCAGAGAAGACCCGCCACCCCTTCCCCCACCCCAGGAGCCCAGCGCCCAGGCCCGGCCCCCGCGCGCGCTCACCTGGGATGTAGGTGTCTGCCCTTTTCTCATCCGGGAGCTCATCCCAGCTGCGGACCGAGACCCCCAGGCTCCTCCTCTTCACCAGGAAGACTTTGGGCATGGTGGGGGTCCCCTCTCCCGGCTGCGGCCCCCTCCTCCCGGCTGCTCCCCGCTAGGGGCGACGGCGGCGTCTCGGTCCCCGGCTCCCGGCGGCCAGAGCCCACCTTCCCGCCTCGCCTGCCCTCTTCCTCCACCCCCCTCCGCGACGCGGCCCAGGCCTCTCCCCCGCACGCCTGGCGACTCCCAGCCTCCGGGCTCGGCGACACCTATGCCTTAAATCGCGGTTGAGACCACGCCGGGGAAAAAGTTTCATAAGGTGAAATAGAAAAGGCACCAGGAAACTTGGGAGTGAGCATGCGCCCTGCAACATAACGGTGTCAACAAGCTCGCTACCTGTCCGACCGGTTCCGGCGGCCGGGGCTGCCTGTTCCAGCCCTTCCTTAGGCATGAATGTTTGCAAAAGAATTTAAAGTCTCTTCTTCCCCCTCCTCTTTTTAAAAAAAGCAGAACATATTTTAATCCGCCACCTTCCCATTCCCCCATCACCTACACCTCGAGGTGAGCTCTTCGAGATAAACCCCAGGTTTGCCTCCCAGGGCACCCCTCCGGTGAGTTGGGGCCTCCCACAAGTTGCCCCCCTCCCCCGCCCGGTGGATCTGTCTCAGACGAGCCAGAAAATGGCTCAGTTCCTCTGGACCTCGTGGAGCCTTCCCGGGGCTTGGAGAAATCTGGGCGGTCAGAAGAGGAGGCGGCGGGAGGCTTCCAAGGACTCTGATTATTAATAATGGGGGAGGGGGCTTAGGGGCTTAAGCCATCCATCGGCTACAACACTGCCGTTAAGCAGTAAAAATAAATTTTAAAATTCGGCATCTTTAGAACACGTTACATCTTTAGAACACGTTATTTTTCTGACTAGCATCATAAAATCTGGGCTTGCCCCGCCAAAGCAGCTTCCATCCCAAGACGTTGCACCCCGAAAGCCCCCTTACCCCAACTAAACACACAATAGAAACAGAAGCCAGGAGCATATTATGCAAATGCAGCTTCGAAACAAGCCCCCAATCCTCTCCCACTCACACCACTGCCTCCCCTAACCACCCGAACCCAAATTCTGAGGCTTGGAAATACCTTTCCAGGAAGCCACCATAGTGAACATTGGCTACATCTTCTCGCCGTCCCTACCGGGGGAGGAAGGAAAGCTTTGCACTTATTATTATATCTGTCTGTTCCAATCAACCTTTACGTCTGGAGGGGAGAGGGAGAGAAGGAGGGGGAGTTGGTAAAAGGTGCCAAGTTTATAAAGCAGTTGTGTTCACATTGGGGGGCGCGCTGCCCTTCCCAAGACCTTGTTCGGGTGCGCCCAGGACAACAGGCACAGCCTCCAGTGTCGCTGCGATCGCCCTGCTCCAGGAGGTCGTCAGACGTGTGCCAGCTGCCGGGTGCTGCGGGGGGGTGGGGGGGGCGCCTGGCCAGGGATGCCCTGGAGCCCGCAGCTCACCCAACAGCCAGCCTCACCTGTCTGTAATCTGACCCGCCGCGCACCCAGCCCTCAGGGCCCGGGAAACAAAACAGCGGTTTTCCCTGTTCCCTTCCTCCCTGAATGGCCCTTGGGGACACAGCCGCCTGGTAACGGATTTCTCGGCGCTACTGGAGGACTCGCGCGGCGCAGAGAGCCGGGGCGCTGCTCTCCCCCGCCTGCGGAGGGGACGGGCGCGCCAAGCCTCCAGGCCTGCCCTCAAGGAGTCACCCTCGCTGGACTGAACTCCGAACTCCAGCTTTTCTCTAAGGAAAACCAGCTAAGAACGAAAAAGACTTTGATCCCGATGAGCCAGAGGAGGAGGAGGAGGAAGACATTTCTGTAGCAGTGCAGGAAAACCAGGCTTCTTGTCTATGAGGCTGATGGGGCAGCTTCCGGGAGACTCTGCAGATTTATTTTTATCCACCAACAAACGGGATTTGCTAGAAAGAAGGAGCTTGGGTGAATGGAAGAGTAAAAATAAAGTACAACTATGAAGTTACAGAATTATTCCCAGTCTTTAAAAATCTTCAGAACTTCACTTCGTTAAGAACTCCGTGTTTTACAGAAGAGGCTGTCAACTCCATTCATAAAGATTTTTTTTTTCTTTCACTGGATTTCAAACCAGTGAGTGCTCGACTACTTTGCCTATTTCTGTTATTTAAAAAGATTAAGGCCAAGCGCGGTAGCTCACGCCTGTAATCACAGCACTTTGGGAGGCTGAGGTGGGCAGATCACCTGAGGTCAGGAGTTCAAGGACAGCCTGATCAACATGGAGAAACCCTGTCTCTACTAAACATACAAAAATTAGCAGGGCGTGGTGGCACATGCCTGTAATCCCAGGAGGCTGAGGCAGGAGAATCGCTTGAATCTGGGAGACGGAGGTTGCAGTGAGCCAAGATGGCTCCATTGCACTCCAGCCTGGGCAACGAGACCGAAACTCTGTCTTGGAAAAAAAAGAAAAGATTATAGGATGATTAAGTATAAGGCTAGAAACCTCCAAAGCAATGCAACCTTTGTAGGTTTGGGGATGAAGACTTAACAGGATAACACTTTTATTCTATGATCATTGGATGAACACCGACTATATTTGCTGGGTGCTTCTTGGGGACAAAGGAATTTTAATGTGTTTTATTTATCTCTTTTTTTCTTGACCAGACTTGACATGGGTCTATCACAATTATTGACATATACAAAGAACCAGCTTTTATCTTGGTTGACTTGTCTCCATTGTAAGGTTTGGTTTTTTAAGTATTCTGAGAGGAGCTGATAGAGTATCCCAGAAAGCATGATAAGAAATGAACCCAATTCTCATTTTTTACACTGCTATAAAAATGTCTTCCTTCTCCTCCCTCCTCCTCCTTATATGCTTATACAGTGTTGGTGAGAATGCAAATTAATTCAGCCCCTGTGGAAAGCGGTTTGGAGATTTCTCAAGAACTAAGAATAGAAATACCATTGGACCCAGTAATCCAGTTACTGGGTATACAACCAAAGGAAAATAAATCGTTTCACCAATAAGCATTTGCATGTTTATTGCAGCACTAGTCACAATAGAAAAGACATGATATCTACCCAGGTGTCCATCAATAGTGGACAGGATAAAGAAAAGGTGGTACATATACACCATAGAATACTATGCTGTCATAAAAAAAGAATCAAATAAGGCCGGGCACGGTGGCTCAAGCCTGTAATCCCAGCACTTTGGGAGGCCGAGGCGGGTGGATCACAAGGTCGAGAGATCGAGACCAACCTGGTCAACATGGTGAAACCCCGTCTCTACTAAAAATACAAAAAATTAGCTGGGCATGGTGGCGCGTGCCTATAATCCCAGCTACTCAGGAGGCTGAGGCAGGAGAATTGCCTGAACCCAGGAGGCGGAGGTTGCGGTGAGCCGAGATTGCGCCATTGCACTCCAGCCTGGGTAACAAGAGCGAAACTCCGTCTCAGAATCAAATAATATATTTGCAGTAACATGGATGCAGCTGGAGTCCATTATCTGGTACAAATTAACTCAGAAACAGAAAATCTAATTCCGTAGGTTCTCAATTAGAAGTGGGAACTAAATATTGGGTACACACAGATACAAAGATGGGAACAGTTAACGCTGGGGATCCCAAAAGTGGGAAGGGAGAGAGGGGGAAGGCTTGAGAAACTACCTATCAGATACTATGTTCACTATTTATTTTTATTTAATTTTTGAGACAGTTTCCCTCTGTCCCTCAGGCTGTACTGCAATGGCGAGATCTCAGTTCACTGCAACCTCCGCCTCCCGGGATCAAGCAATTTTCATGCCTCAGCCTCCCAAGTAGCCGGGACTACAGGCATGTGCCACCACACCAGGCCAATTTTTGTATTTTTAGTAGAGACAGGGTTTCACTCTGTTGGCCAGGCTGGTTTCGAACTCCTGAGCTCGAGTGATACACCCACCTGCCTTGGTCTCCCAAAGGGCTGGGATCATAGGCATAAACTACCACAACTGGCATATGTTCACTGGGAGATAGGATCATTAGAAGCCCATACTTCAGCATCATGCAATTTATCCATGAAACAAACCTGCACAGCTACCCCATGAATCTAAAATTTAAAAAGAAAAGAAAAAGTAAATAATGCTTTAAAACTTTTTCACATTATTTCCTAAATACCTTTATTTACATTCATTTGGTAATATTATTTGTCCCATTTCTTTAAAAGGAGGGAAAATAGGGTATGAGAAACTAAGCACATTCAAGTACCCCCAGGCGCAGTGGTTCATGTCTGTAATCCCAGCACTTTGGGAGGCTGAGGCAGGCAGATCACCTGAGGTCAGAAGTTCGAGACCAGCCTGGCCAACATGGTGAAAACCTATTGATACTAAAATACAAAAATTAGCCAGGCATGGTGGTGCACGCCTGTATTCCCAGCTATCCGGGAGTCTGAGTCAGGAGAATCACTTGTACCTAGGAAGTGGAGGTTGCAGTGAGCCAAGATTGCCCTACTACACCCCAGCCTGGGAGACAGAGCAAGACCCTGTCTGAAAAAAAAAAGTCTTGCTCTGGCGCTCAGGCTGGAGTGCAATGGCATGATCTCGGCTCACTGCAACTTCCGCCTCCCGGGTTCAAGTGATTCTCCTGCCTTAGACTCTCCAGTAGCTGGGATTGCAGCTGCCCGCCACCACACCTGGCTAAGTTGTGTATTGTTAATAGAGACAAGGTTTCACCATGTTGGCCAGGCTCATCTCAAACTCCTGACCTCATGATTCACCCACCTCAATCTCCCAAAGTGTTGGGATTACAGATGTGAGCCACCACTTCTGGCCCAATTATTCTTCATGTGTACATCATCATACCTCATTTGCAACAAGATCAGTTTAACTAACCTAGTAATTAAATAAGCAAACTGCATAAATTAAAAATATATAAAAGTAGACATTTATATTTGAACCTCTTACCACATTCAGTACAAAATGTACTTTTGCTTGTTTTGTCAGATTGTAGAGGTGACTTGCTGAGACAGTGTGGGTAAATTTGGTAGAGCTGAGTGAATTCGGGGTGTAGCTATTGACCTTGAAATAGATTTATTTCTTTTTCTTCCACCTGAGATCGTGGCCTCTGTCTTATTTGTAAGGGGTCCTCTTTATGAAAGCAAATGATGTGGCTCATATTACACAATGTGTTAAATACCTTGTATTTAAATATAGATGTTTCGGTCATAGTGAAAGTTGAATACTCAGAACTCACAAACACCCGCAAGATGTTAATAAAAACAATTTCAATTTAAAAAAAAAAGAAGCCGGGTGTGGTGGCTCAAGCCTGTAATCCCAGCACTTTGGGAGGCCGAGGCGGGTGGATCACGAGGTCAAGAGATCGAGACCATCCTGGTCAACCTG